GCAGGTGGTGATTCGGGATGTCTCTGCCTTTGGTGTGTTAATTTAATCTCTTTAAAAAGCACCAGTGCAGAGGTGATGCTCGGCATGCTCTAGGCCAGGCTTTCCATCCCCACTCTCCTCTGGGGGGGTTTCACGTATTTTGGCAGGAATCCCAAAAGGGGAAAGGGGCTCCGAGGTCTATTAAAGCTGCTCTCCCCCTCCAGGAGCCACCGCACCAACCTGCTCTCCCCCTCTCCGCAGCCTTCATCTGCTTGACAAAAGGGCCTCTTATTGTTATGCAGACGATTCCCTGCTTCCAATTAGTCGATTAATCGTCCAGTTAATCAGGCAATTAGGTGACAGCTGCAGAGATGGCTTTGTGGAGCACTCTGTCCTGCCCCTTATATATGTCACCTGCTCCAATTACCACCTCCACTCGAGTGTTCAGCAATAAAAGTTGGAGAAGTGGCATGCCCACCGCTTGCTCCTCCATCTCTTCAGAGTAATAGGAGAGCGGAGGAGCAGAAATGCTCTGAAATTGGGTTGGTTAAGGTCCAATTACTCTTTGACACATGCGGCTTTCTAAGGGAGGCTGCTAGGAAAGGCAGCCCCTGCTATTAATGCCTGTCCAGGTTAAAGACTCCTACCTCTTGCGTAAGCCCTTGTGCAAGGTTTAAAGGGAGCTTAGAGGTGGGGGAGGATGTTATTTATAATGAGAAACTCTGTAGGGCTGCAGAGGCTCGCTCAGGCTCTTCTGGCTGCTGCTGTTGGCATGCTAATGATGCTAAATGAGTGACAAGGGGACCTTGGTGACTCAACAATGGACATAGGGCCAAAGGAGGAGCATCTAGTGGGAGAACTGACATGATACGACATTGTTTGAGGGCAATAAGAGGATGTAAGATACATGGAAAACAAACTCTGGTTAGTAGGATGTTGTCCCTAATGATCCTGGGTGTTAGGTTTTGCTGGGGTGGGACAGCAGATGGCTGGAGGGTCCACAGTAGACTGTGACCCATCCAGAACTCGTGTTTTTATCCCGTTAGCTCCTGTGGTTCCTCTGATGTGTGCTGCCAAGTGGTGCCCTGAGGACTTGGACACAACAAGGTGACTACCAACATAAGCCCCCCAGCAAGACCTCCACCCCGTTAGTCCCATGGGTTTGCTCCCCTCCCCCAGGTTCCCAAGCCTGTGGGGCTTTGCCCAAGCCTCCCCTCCCTCCCACCACCGAGGGGAGCGGGGTCCTTACCTCACCTCCTGGCCGATGAGCTCCGTGGGCACTGGCGAAGGGGCGGGATGCAGCAATGGAAACAAACACAAGGTCAAAACCACAACCGGTGGGTCCAGCCCCCCCTCGAGAGACATCCCCCTGCTCTGGGAGATCCTCTCCTGCCTGCTGCTGGGCTTCTGTTGCCTCCTGGAGCATCCCGTTTGGGAAAGAAAGAGGAAATCTATCCTGCCACCATTTACTGCATGCCAGCCTGCAGTAAATCACAATCCTGCCATGTAAATCCTCATGCCTGTGCTTAATTTCATGCAAATTAGTGCATCCTTGCAGCACCAGCAACTACCTCTTTCTCTAAATACACAACGACTTTAAAGTCAATGGAGCTATACCCATATACATGCATATGGCTCAACCACTTTTAAGTTAAGACCGAGTTTTCTCATGCCTTCTTCCCTATGTTTGCCTTTGAAATAAGCTCCTCAGCTCCTTTTTGCACAGATCGATACTGTCTTGCTGCAACGGGCACATTTCCCCTCTGCCTATCAACAGGCACATTTTTCTCCTCCCCTGGTCACACCAGACTGATGTGGGAGCCCCTGCCTAGGCTCAGACACGTGGTAGGGGGTGTGCTACTTGTTTTTTAGGGTAATCAATAGTTTGTAGGGTTTTTAGGGATTATTCCCCACTTGTGGATAAGAGAGCATCCCGCTGCTTGCAATAACAACATACAACAACATCGGATCGCTGCTGAAACCTTATATCCAGCCAGGAATCCAAATAAGCAGGAAGAAAAAAAAACCAAACCTCAACACAAGTCTAAATTTGCCCAGGCTAAAAATCATAACACGTTTGCTCAATTTGTTTGAGCTAATTGGGTTTCCTGGGATCCAGCTCCCGGTGGGGTGACTCACAAGCTTCAACAAACTGGAGGCACTGGCAAGTCCCAGGGTGTCGGCAATAAATTACCTTCGCACGTCAAGAAACCCAGATTTGAGCGTGGGGAAGGCAGGGTGTGAGAAAATAAATAGAAGCAGGGCACTCTCATTAGCAACCCGAGCAAGCACCTTTCTGCACGCGGAACAAAGCAGTGAAACACCAATATCCCAGCTCGCTTCAGCACAAGTGGCAGCACATGGGTTTGGTTTTGTTTTTAACAAGATGCGGATGCTGAGAAGAGCAAGGAGGGAGGTGGGTCAGGACGGAGGGAGGTGGGCCAGCACCGCTGTGTGGGTGAAGCTGGAGTCTCTAGAGCCATCCCACTGTTTCAGCCTGCTCCTTTCATCCCTCACTCCCAGACACCTTTGCAATCCAACAAACCCACGGCCACAAAAAAGAACCCAAATGGAGAGGCTGGTCTGTAACCATCACACGTGGCCGTGGGATCACCCGAGGTGACGCCCTGTGCTGTGTGTCAGAGCACCTCGCCTTCTCCTGGGGAGAAAGCACGCACGGAAAGACCAATAGCAAAAATAAATAACACGTGAGCTTTGCATGAACAAGTCGTCTGGCCTCACGTCCCTGCCGGGGGACGGCCCCGTTTGCTTCTCCAGCATGCATCACTGCTGCCAGGCGCTCTCAGATGTGCAACTTCAAAGCCGCTGGCAGAGCGTGCGTGATGAAAGCCCCGGGAGTGATCTGAAGCTCCAGCGATTGCGATCCCCCTAAAGCAAAGCATGCAAAGGGGCTTTTTTTTTTTTTCTTCTCTTTTTTCTAATTCCCCTGGGTGTAAGGGATGAAGGGTAAATATGCTGAGGACCTCTAAAGGTTTGTGGCTGGGAGTTTTCCAGGTTTGTAGACAAATTTTGACGGGGTTGGAGGGGGGGGCAGTAAGCATAACTTAAAGAGTTAAGCCTGAACGGGAAAAATCAAAGCCCATTTGGAACAAGCAAAGTGCAAGGAGCTCAGCTCTATACATCCCCGTGCTGCCGGATAACCAGCTGCTCACCTCTGATAGACTTCGATCGCGTGCGTGCTCTCTTATCGTCATTTTCTAAACTCATCTGGAATGGAAAGAAAAGATAATTGTTGAAAGATAACAAGAAAATTATTGTTAAAGGACAATCTCACGTGTGGCTGTTGCCCTGGGTAAATACGTGGGCGGCAGGGAAAGCTTCCCCACGTTTCTGAGACAGACATTTCTTGCATCGCTTTTATCATTCAACCCACAGTGCCCAAATTTAGCAACCTGAAATTAATTTCCACATCCTGGGACGCAACAAGGACTCTTTGCTGGTCGGGTACTGCAGTGAGACAAACACCCAGATGTGATGGAAAACGGCTGCGTCTGCGACATCCCTCATTAAGGGCAGAACTGATTTCTCTGGATTTACACTCCAGAAGTGCTGCGAGCATCTAGGTGAGCAGGCAGCTCATTTCATTTTGCAGAAATCTCTGAATATGCAGCCAAGCTACTCTCCTGCCCAGGAAGGGCAACTTTTTGTGCAATGCCCTAAAGAGCAACCTCTCCTCTCTGCCTCAGTCTGACACTAAGAGGGTTGCATCTAAATAACCCCCGCGATGTGGACATCAAACAGGAGGGTCTGCGGGGAACGCGGGCATGAATAAGTAACATCGGGGACTTCAAAGTGCTCGATATTAATTAAACATCACAACATGCCACAAGGTAGCGGAAGGCTGAAGTGCAGCCACCTCCGGGGTGCAGCGTGGGCTCCGCACCCACGCCCCAGCGTTGGGGAGAGCTTTGGGATGGGGCTGTGCCTGCAGCGGGGAGCAGGGGAACCTCCACGGCCAGAATAATAGAAATGGGATTTCGTGAAACTCGTCAATGAAGTTGCTGGAGCGGTCAAAGAGCTGGTTTTATGTCTCACCCTCAGCACGGATGGTCTGCCTGTGGGAGACCAAATGCCAACGGAGCGCAGAGGATTGGGGTGGGAGCAGGGAGGCGGATCAGGGCCTGGTTTGGGTTTTATCATGGTATTATGGTCTGGGACATTGCTTCTTGGGATAAACAGGAAGGAGAGAGAATGGAGGGGTGTGGAAGGACCATTTCCAAGTGGGATTTGACATACTAACCACAAATTCTCCCTGGCACATGCTCTTTGGAGCATTCTCGACAAGGCTCAGCTGGAGGGGGGTCCACCCGGCTCCTGTGCCATCCCTAAACTAACCCTCTGGCACCCCCAGCAGAGGGGGGACACAAGTGGCTGCCCCCCAGGTCCAGCAGCAGGAAGGGGGACACGTGCAGAGCACCTGGGGGTACAACACACAGATGATGTGTGCCACCACGTGCACCTTGAAACTCTTTCCTGATGGCTGCAGCTCGCAGTCCCCAGCAGAAGGGGCTGGGGGTCCTCACCCATCACCCCCAAAGGATGTGCTGCTGGGTTTGGGGCTCTCTTGTTTCCCCTCTGAGGTTTGGGGGTGGTGAGGAGGGATGGAATCTTTTGGGTGGCAAGGGCAAGGGGATGGAGGTCCCCAGCCGATGGGGCACCGCAGCTGAAAGCATCTCCAAGGAGAGGGATGAAATTTTCCCAAGTGCCTCTCTCCCTCCCACTGCCACCCTCCAGAAACACAGCGTTAACACGCCATGATTTATGTGATTTGTTAGATGGGGAGATTGGAGAAGGAAAAAAAAAAAAAAAAAATCAAAACCTGGAGCAATTTATGCATCCTGTCAGCATTCAGCCCGTGGCACCGCGGTGTTGTGCTCCACGTTTATTACAATCTTCCCAATAACACAGCAGACAATTACTATAATTCCTATTTTTAAAGCCCTGGTTCCCTGCGGACCAATGGCTCACGTTTAAAGTGTGGAGAGGAGCAGGTGTCAAAGGGACTTCATTACACTTATGAGCCTTTCAACGCCGGCGTGCACTGAGCGAGCTAGCTAATGCCACCGCCGCACGCCGACAATACGACTAATACGTGTGATTGCTGGGAGCCTGCCTCCAACCAAAATGAATTTCAGAGAGGGCTTTTTTTTTTTCTTTTTTTTTTTTGACAGTTTTTCCAGGGAATTGGCACGTGTTGGGCTGGTGCCTTGGCAATATGGGTTTCCTGCAGATAAATTATTCAAAGCAGCAGAGGAGGGAAGGCTGTGGGAAGCGTAATGGGCACTGCCTGACACGTGCCAGTGCCAGCCAAAAAAAGAGGTAGGGCTGGGACCCTGCAGGGACAGTTTTCAAAGCTTCAGACAGCAAAATTTTCTTAAACCTGCCCTTCAAGGACAGGCAGGTGGGAAGGGCTCAAGCTGCTGGTCTACAAGTGGGTGAAACCCCATTGCATGCCACATTTGTCTTCAAAAAATTAGGCATCACGTCTGAGCTAACATCCAGGCTCCTCACTACACCATAGCACCTCATAAGGAAATTCCTCCCCTTACCTTCAACACTTCTTTCAAGGATCAAATGCTCGGGGAAGATGGAAGCACACTCGGTCACCATATGGGCAAAGGGCACAGGAGCCACCTAGGGCAGGGATGGACTCAGCCTTGCTGAGGACCAAAGGATGGAAAAGCCAAATAGGCTGCCTTGCCTGGCCTACTTCACAAAGCAGCTCTAAAAAAAAAAAAAATAAAAAAAAATAAAAATAAAGGTTTTTCCCCATAGGGAAGACCCCATTACTTGGTTAGAGAACATCACACAGCTCCACCTCTGTGTATTTAAAATATTTCGCTCACAGCACTGAAGGGATGGGGTGGGCTCTGCACACCCAGACTGTTTTCTACCATCAGGCTCCTTTTCTCAGCTTAAATCAACAGCAGCATCCTCAAAAATATTAATTTCCCACCAAAGTTCAGAAACACCAGGAAAAAGATCCATTTCTGAGCTCAGCCCCTGCCCCTTCCAGGACATGGCTGCTCCTGTGCTCCCGGAGCCTCGGTGGCTATCGGGCTCGGATGCACGAAGGTTACATGAAAGCACTGTCCTTCATTGTTCACCTCCTCAGTGAGAAGCCCTCTAGACAGATCGTTTTAATGCAAAATTTCAGGTCACATAGGGCATATTTGCAGTCTTGGAGACTGCTGGGGTATTTTCATTTGTTCTCTCTCTTGCTCACGTAACAGCCAGGCTGAGAAGCTGTCTGGATTTCACTCTTATTATTTCAACTCTGAATGGAAAACAAAGCAATCTGAAAGGAAACCTCCAAATAAATTATTGCTACCCGACGCCAGCCTCGGAGCACGTTAGTCCAGCTAGAAAAGACAGAGGTTTATTCTGCTCCTCCTCCCCGTATCGCTGGGTTATCTCTCCCATTAAACCCAAATAAGCATCGAGCAGATTTCCCAACCCAATGCCAGGAGACAACGTGGTGGAAAGGATCCTGTGCTGGGTCTTGGGGTTCCCACTTCGGGGTTCAGCTCCATGCTCTGCCACAGACAGTCAGGGTAACCGTGAGAGCATCAGTTCCTCTCTGGATGCCCCTTTTTCCCCCTCTTCTCTCTAAGGTGCCGTGGTGCTGGCGCTGTTTCTTACCATGTGTTTGCCCTGCACTAGGGAGCCTCCTGACATGACCATACCACCAGCTATACTGACAACATCCTGATGCTGCAAATCTAAATCAATGAGGTTCAGACAGATAAACCTGAAAGATGGTTTAATCTGAGTACAACGTGAATTTTAACAGCCTTCTGCAGTATCAGTCTTACTCTGCTGACGAGACTCCAGCAATACAGCACGACAACAGCAAAGTTTAATTTTATGGAGTACCTACAGGGTTGATATTTTCTTCTTTCTTATCTTAATACACATTTATTTTCCAATGGAAGACCGAGGTGTTACCATAAAGCCGCTGGAGCCTCCCGTGCGCCGTTGCCCAGGTGTGCCTGGGCTTTGACAGCTCCATGCAAATACACCATGAAGGGCCAAGCAGAAATTCCCCACGGTCAGCGGTAATACTCGATATGTATTCAAGAGCACCGCTGAGCTCAGAGAAAATAAACACACTGAAAAAGCCTTCAGCCGGACAAAGGGAGGTGAGGATTCAGCGGGAATATTTATTTTACCCTGAAAGCAGCAGCGCTTCCATCAGTGCCTATTTGTGGTTACAGCAAAATGCCATTTGCAAGAAGCTGTGTCTGAGCTTTAGAGGGACAGACGGACAGGCAGAGACTCTATTTTTAGTTAAAGAACAAAACCTAAGTTTGCCCAGCAGCAAGAGGAGGAAAATGCCAGAAGAAATGACATTTTTCCTACAGAAGTGTTGAAAAGTGGTTTTTTTTTTTACTCGATCCTTCCCCTCTTACAGGTCCAAAGAGCCCCTTCTTTAGCTCCTCAAGAGAAAACACGGCACCAGCTGCCCCAACGAGATGGGACCCCATGGTACCTGGCCATGGACAGAGGATGGTCCAGCTCCTGCAGCCCTGTTTCGGGGCTGGGTTGGAAGCCAGGAGGAGGGATGTGAAGGGAGAAGGATGCTGTGTGGCAAACCTCCACCATCACCAACCTGACTCATTCAAGCCCTCACCAGAAAAGATGAATTTGCTCTCCCCCCTGTTCTCTGCAAAGTGCCACGGCATCACTGGGCACTGCAGAAAATGAAGACCGCTTCGTCCCACTGGACCTTCTCTAGCTGGTAATTTTTTTAAAAATAATAAATAGGGGGTGATGGAGGAAGACATGTCCCTTGATCAAGAGTCTCCCTCTACTTTTCAAAAAGGCTCAATAGTAGCTCCCAGCTGCTATTTTATAACCACACTCTGAGGTTACAGTGGGGTTTTTTTTCCCTTTCTTCCTTTAGGGTCTTCCCTGCTGCTTGATTTAAATCCTCCTGACGTTCCACCTATTGTGAGTCCCGTCCTCAGCTGAATAAACTACCGTCTGCCGTTTGCTCTCTCACTGCTTCCAGGAAAGGACACCCTGCGCAGCGTTCTCGGGCTTGGAGTCGGCGGAGGTGGGGAGGATTTTGCCTTGACATCTTTAGATGCAAAACCACAGCTTGTCCCTACCTCAAATTAAAAATTACAGCTGTGTCACAAACATCCTCCTGAAGCCGTGCTGTCACTTTTCATTTGCAAAAAGGGACCAATCCCCACCTAAAACAACCCCCACCACTGCGAATGAAACGCTTACCAAGCGCTAATGCTCTGTAGCGGTAGCAGAGGCATCCTCCGCACGAGTGAAGCGAACCAGAAAAGATGCTCCCGAGCATCACATCCGACACAGCCACAGCTGTAGCGTGTGCCTCCGCAGCGCTGACATTCAGGCATTAGGCTGGGGTGATTTCATAGGCAGTAGTTTCAGTTGATATATACTTTCCTCTCGACTGTTTGAAAGTGCTGCAACACGCACTCCAAACGCCGTTTGATGCACAGGGAGACCTAAGTGGCTCCATACGTGCAAACAGCTCTTATGCCAGAAAAGGAGGGGTAGGAGAGGGGAGAAAAATACCGCAGTTCTTCAACCTCATTGTTTTCAAACTCGATAAGAAGCTGCCTTTTTCATAAGATAATCCTTGAGTGGCACAGTGTGCGGCGTTTAATGAAGGGAGCTATGTGCGCACCTCCGAAGAGGACTGCGGCAGCCGGTGCTGGTGGCAGGGGGTGGGCTTTGGTGGCCCCATCAACATCAGCCCTGCCTGTCCCCCATGGGTGCGTGCCAGCACGGCTTTCCGAGATCAATTGCTCTATCTAATTCCTACAGAATGCAGAATCATAGAATGACAGAATAGTTGGGGTTGGAAGGGACATTAAAGACCATCTAGTTCCAACTCCCCTTCCATTAAACCAGCTTGCCCAAAGCCTCATCCTGCCTGGCCTTGAGCCCCTCCAGGGATGGGGCATCCACAGCTTCTCTGGGCACCCTGGGCCACTGCCTCACCCCCTGCACAGGGAAACATTTCTTCCCAATATCTCATCTCAATCTCCCCTCTTTCAGCTTAAAACCGTTCCCCCTCATCCTATCCCTCTACCCCTGATCATGAGTCCCTCCCCATCTCTCCTGTAGCCCCCTTTCAGCACTGGAAGGCGATGGAAACTCTGCCCAGTGGCTTCTCTTCTCCAGGCTGAACAACCCCAACTCTTTTCCCCAAAACCCTCATCATGAGCTTCACACAGGCCCACCTCTCAAGCCCATCAAGGTCACTCTGGATGGCATCCCCTCCCTCCACCATCCTAACAGCACCAGCCTTCAGCAACAGCCCGCCTGCTGTTCAGCAGTACCCCCAGCTAGCTCACCATGGCACCGGGGAATAGGGAAGATTTGGGAAAGAAAGATGAATTTCTCCATCAGCCACCATGGTCCAGGACAAGCACAAGCAGGAGCGTCCGTGCGGACGGTCCCAGCTGGCTCCGTGCAGAGAGCACCTCTCCCCAGCACTCGGAGATCTCATTTCAGACCTGTCACGGGAAATTTTATCCTGCGCCTGGACTTCTTTAGAGGCAAAAATAAATAAGTAAACGTGCCCCACATCCCATTGTCCTTCACCGCTGTGCATCCTGTGGATTACGAGCCGTAACTGGCATGAAAAACTCCATTTAAATGCAATCTCTATTTATGAGCACACATGCAAGTGCAAGCACGTGCACGTGGTGCAGATCTGCCGGTTAAAGGGGGCTTGGGACCTCTCCCCGCTGTGAGATAGGAGGGCTGCACACACACACAATATCCAGGCCTAGACTGTCCTAAGTTCTACCTGGATTTTAGGAAAATATAGCAGAAAATAAATGTGCTACTGCACTGATAGGCAAATAAATATCTTTTACATTTTGCCTAAATGGATTTAAAGTAAAGCATGGGGAAAACTGGAGAGAGCTGGCTTAGAGCCTTATCAAAGCCAGCCTCCTCCACCCCTTCCTATTCAAGTTTAATTTGGCTTTTAGAACGAAGGACCAGAACTCATCTATTGCCCACTCCTGCACCTTCGTCTGACAGCCAGAGATGTGCAGGATCAGGCCCCTGCATAACCTGGACGTCCCATAGTGTGACTCTTCACAGACCTCGCCTTGCAGGACCAGCACCACCACCTCCAAAAGCTGCAGCTCCCCAAACCCTCCTCCCACTCCAGGTGCCCCCTCCCCACCTCCTCCTCTTGCCCCCAGACCACTCACTCTGCTGAAACACAGAAAGCAGAGCTGGGGGGTGCAAGAAGCAGTTAATATTAGCAGTGTGCTTGGCAGGGGCAGAAGCACTAGATGAGCACCAGGTAGTAGGAACATTACCTTTCGTAATCATGGCTTTATTAACACACAACAATCTTATTAAATCTAATCTAAGTGCTTATTTGGCAGGTTCAATAGAAAAGCCTTAATTGAGCTTGTTTTAAATATAGCAACAACTGCTTACGCTGCTTTCTAAGAAGGTGTGAGCTTTCCTGGCAACACCTGCTCGCAGCTGACAGCTTGTTAGTGAAGAAGGATGGTTCTTAAGGGTGGATTTTTGCTGGTTTGGGGTTTTCCCAGGTCTTGGTTTACTTGGGGATACAGGAAGAGTTGGTAACATCAGTCACCCAAGGAAGGCTGCCTCCAGTGCCCAGGTGGGTCCATCCACCCTCTGAGATGATGTCTTGTTACAAAGAGGCCAAAACGGGACAGGAAGTGTCATTTGCGTAATGAGCAGCCCAGTTCTATGCTTAATTAAAGCTTCCTAATCTGCTGGCGGTGAGTCTGCCGGGAGGTTTGACAGCCTTGGCTGGACCTCTTTCATCAGCCACAGCTGCAGCACTAAATGAGCCGCTCTGTTGAGCCCCCGGGAGCTGCCGGGGGTCCCGGGGGGATGAATGCTTCGCTTGTCTCCTCCAAAGGCACCACGGCTTCACCTGGCGTACGAGGGGCTTCTTCCATCCAGCCGGCGCCTTGGAGAAAGAGCCTATTTTACCAAGCCTGGGACTGACCTAAATATCCAGCTCTGAGCCATCCTTGAAGGATGGGACCAAAGAGGAAGGGAAGGATTTCAATATCCGGACCCAAAGCCAAGTCTTGACAGCTGGAAGCCCTCTGTGCCCGGATTCACCAAGCAGGAGGTTCAGTAACAAGGAGACAGAAGCTTCCAAGTCCTGCCCATCGCTTTGAGTGCTGGAAAGGCTCCATTCCCCCAGGACCACCTGGTCCATAGGGGCTGGAGCAGCACGCAGCCTCATCCTATGGCCAACACATGGGGCGGGGGGGTCACCATACCAAAAAAAGCACACTAGTGGAGGACCAAGGGTCTTCTGCTCACCTTGATGCGTGTGCCGTGCAGGCTGGTGGCTCCCTTGCAGCTGCTGATCTTCTCTCCGCAGGTCCACCTCTGATTCAGCAGCTCACCCCGAAACTCATTTTCTGGGGAGGGGAAGAGGAACACAGGGTCAGGACACAGAGTCAGCCCAGGACCACAGCAGCAGCATCAACTAGAGGTGAAAATGCAATATTTATTCCCTGCCTGCTTTTTTTAATGGCCGTTCAAACCTTGCTGTCCATGCCATTATTGCCGACAGCAATGAGATCAAGAGCATTTGCCCCCCAGACTCTGGCCTCTGGGCCCTCAGTGGCACAGCTCACCTTAGCAAACCATTGTCACTTCGGGCACTGCCACCGTAAGCCTTCCCCTGGCATCTTTAATTGCGGCTCCCTCTGGCACTGAGTACGGAATAATTCACTGCCTGCTCTCCAAGCCTTGCTCCATTCATCCTCTAGCACCAGTGCAAAGGAAAAACAAGAGCATCCCTCAGAAGGAGGCACATGAGGAGCTCCACGTGCGCCGGCAGGCTCATTCATCTCAGGCTGCTAATAGCCTGGGGAAGAGCTCGGGGCAGAGGCTTCATTTCTGCTGCTGAACAGGCTCCCAGGCTTCCTTGACGTGAATCATCTTAGGGTGATCTCAAAGGCAGGGAAAGCAGGGAGGAGGCTCGCACACACTAAAGAAAACCTGTGGAAGGCGGGTGTTTCTAGCAAAGGATAACTTGCTGAGGGTGTAGGACACCAGTCGAGCAGCTTTGGATCTGCTCTGCCACAAAGCAGCTTTTGGGAGAACACGCAGCAAACAGCCGGGGCATTTATTTCTCCCCTGCCTGTGTCTGTTCTCTGGCTACAAGACATTAAGGAACAACCAGTATATCCCACAGTGCTCTTGCAAGGATGAGGACATTGTAAGACTGGGATAATTCAATCCTACGGTGATGCACAATCCAAGTTAGTGCCTAAGACAGATGACCATGAAAGTCACCTTCATGTATTTGAACTAAACCAAAGCTGTCCTGAAGCCAGGAGGGCAGCTGGGGGGACTTTTCTAGGTTTCACAGGAGAAACATCTGCGCTGGAGATTCCACTCCAAACCCTGCCTGAAGCACTGTGTTCCAGCCTGGACCCACAGGAGAGGCACAGGGCTTGGAAACAAAATCCAAGAGTTGCTGAAACATTATTCTGCTTTGGAGGAGCTCTGAGGAAAGGGAGCAGGGAGGCACAGATGGCCAGGCAGATGATGAAAACCAAGCAAACTGTGGGAAAGAAGCTAGAAAGGGACAGAAGAAAGAAGAACAGGGGAAAAAAAAAAAAAAAAAGAAGAAATAAAGATGTTTCTGTAGCCCATCCATAGGACAGTGCAGCCTTCCTGGGTATCTGAAGCATTTCCCTGAGCATCCTTCTCCCAGGCTGCGCATTTTAAAGCGGGAGCATCCTCTGGGGCGCAGGAGGAGCAGAGAGGGGGTTGAATTGCAGAAACAATGGATCCTGGATGCAAGATAACCCTAAAGATAGCTTAGAAGCTTTTTGAAAGGTTGGGAGGTTATAAGATTCAACCCCGAGGAGGAAAAAATAGCAAAACACACACTCATGCTTTTTCTCTTTGGGCCTGTTTTGCTCCCGGGTACCTAAGTTGTAGGCTAAGGGTGAGCTCTGGAAGCTGCCGTGGTGAATCTAGCCCAAGGTGCCAGCTTGCCCTTGCTGTGGGCTCCATCCCAACCTCCCATGCCTTCATCCCTGTGAGCAAGAGGAGGGGAAGGGGCTGCGTGTTGGGGCAAGGAGCCCTGACCAGGCTGAAGGTGCATTGGCTGCACCAGCTCAAGCACCCTCCTGCCCGCTCCTGTCCCTCTGCCCAGCCCGGTTCAGATGGCCAAGGCAGCTCCATCAACACCCGAATCAGATTTCCTCTGCTCTGTGCTGCTCAAATGCATCTGGTCCCTGGAGAGGATCAGCTTGCACTGTTGGCTGTGCCCTTTCCACCTCGCTGCA